CCGTACCGTCTGTATCTCTCTCTCCGCTGCTACGGACGGTACGGCGGCTGCGGTGCATGCAAGCTCGCCAGGGGCTACGCGGATTGTACCACCCCCGTGCATGAAATGTTCCCCCTTTATGAAGGATCTAGTGGTCTTGTAAATATTGGAAATAGTATGGCATTGTGGGGTGTCGTCGCACCGCCCCCCCTCCCCGGAGAGGTCCAACACAAAGCTTTATCGGGTTGGTGTCGGAAAAACGAAAGGATGTGTGCCTTTGGCCACGAATGGATCCATTTTTTTCATTGTCTCTCCGAAACGTTTGATTACTGTACGACCACTACTGCTGCAATATTGAGAACGTCCACAGACGTACGTGGACGTCCATGTACACGTCCATGCTATTACCATCAACTGGTGGGCGTACCGGCAAATCGACGTTTTACCGCCGTTTTTGTTTGCGTCGAAAAGTGCAAGTATTAATGCCGACTACCGCCGAAAAAACAAGTTGTTACCGCGCGCTCTGTCTTCTTCGCGGTATGGCACAACAGTACCGCCCCGCCTCTGTGCCAGCCTCAAAAACCGTTGCCGACGAATTACTCCTTCGAATTTTATCTAGCATCGAGGGACGACGCAACTACGTTATCTCCGTCACCAAAAAAGGGCAGATAAGACTGTTGTAGTACAGTATAGGATAGTCTACAATACTCTGTAGGACGGTGGTTGGACGACGTTGCTACATGCACAGAAAAACAAAGGAGCACTCGACTTTCTTGACCGCGGACATGGAGAGATTGTTCGTGAGGACGCTATCCGAACATTGACAGAGGAGCTTCCCAAACCTCAGCTGGACCAACCGTTCGTGTCCCTGATCTTAGCAATTTTCATCCTGTCCGGGGTCGTGGTTCGGTGCCCCGGAATCCTAACAACAACCTCATCTCTGTTTTAGACACCTATTGATTAAATGCGAGGGGCCACAGTTGCAAGTGTTCGGACGAACGAAAATATATGTCCTTCATCTGCTCAGTAGAACGAAGTATTGGCAGTCTGGCATTATCGCGAGGCTTCTTGGAATTGGGCCTTGGCACTACTGCGAAGATTCCACGTATTCCACTTATTGCACATTCTACGACTTCTTTGCGGCCCACTTTCTCGTTACATCTACTACTCTAACTACGGTAACATCCTCGCCCGACCGTCGTACTCGTCTGCACTTTTCACAGCAGAAACAATCGAGCACGGCATCATCCATCGGAGACGCGTTCTATTTCTCTTCCAACAATAAGCTCCATAACGGTTTACTTCTACCGCTGCCCGAAACGAATGTGGACTAGACGGCGTTATTCTTTTCTAGCAAACAAGTTCCACCCAGAAAGGTTCAACTTTCGGCAGGAAAGGCCAAGCCGTACGAAATCTACACCAACAAAAATTCGTGATCACATCAGCCCTCACCACACACCACACCACGCGAAACGCCACACCACTCTTCAAACATCCCACTGAGACCTGAGCCGTGGGGGCAGTATAATTTCATATTTCGATGCCGACGTTAGGCAGGTTGGTTAACTAGTTTTTGCTTAGTCGAGCCGACCCCCTCCCTTCCGCCATCCCTCGCGCCCCTATCGAAGAGAAACCCGACACAACCGATCGGGGCCTCTCTCTCTCCTTCCACAGTTTGACGCCCTTTGCTTTATCAGCAGTCAGGAATGTTGTCAGACCCCTTTGTAAAGTCTTTACCGCGGTCAAGGCAGCCGCCGCCGAGGCTGTTTCCGGTCCATTCGGTGTCCTTGGACTTGTCAAACTCGAAAGTATCGACGTTTCTGAAGACGTTGTCTGTGCAGATTTACGAGGCGCGAAACAAGGGCAAAAGCTTAGCAAACGTGCAACTTATTACCATGTACCAGTAGCTCAAAGGTCTTGGTCTGGGTGCATGAAGTTGTCTGTTTTCAACGATGGAGCGGGACCACTCAATCTTAGTTCCAGTCTGGATAAAGTTATTGCAACCAACAGAAGTCAAGAAATTTCAGTCGTCGCGTGGAATTGGCAACAATATTTCGGTCAACATGCGTGCTTCCCTTTTCCCTCCCACGCATCACGCCCACAGGTGCTTAAGTCATGTTGGACATCATCGCTAGTCCTAATCCACCTGAACTCACTTTTGAATATGTTGCCGTCTCCCTCCTTGCCCAAGACGCCGACCTTTGTGTTTGACACGGTGTTGCCTTCGAACTTGTTGCCCTTGGGGCGACCGTTGGAAACATCAGGCGAGTCGCTCCCCTTGTACGTGTAGAGGCCGTACTTGCTGATGTCGTCGAACGTGTTGTTGGTGATGTCGTTGTCTCCGCTGCCAAGGCTAAGTCTGATGCCGTACTTGCAGTTGACAATACGGTTGTCGTAGATGTCTGCATCGAAAGACTCCAAGAACGCGATCCCGGCGTCATCGTTGTCGTGGATGTAGTTGTCGTAGACCTTGGCGTTGTCGGAGCTGCGGTGGAGGAAGATGCCGGCCTGCCCCCCGCCATAGACCTCGTTGTCGTAGATCTCGACGTTGTTGCATCTCTTGGACGCAATGATGCCTGTGCCAGCCGTGCAGACTCACAGTTAGGTCTCAAACCATCATGCCAGCGGCTTCTGGGCTCGGGTCGAAGGTCGAATCGAATGTGATGGGACATGTTTTGCCAGCTCTAGACACGCTGGCACCAATAGGGTAAAGAGCTCAACGAGTTCTGCACAATGTACAGGGGCATGCGCTGCGCGACGTCACCCAACCAAGGCCCAACAACTCTCTCTGATTAGAATCGTTTCTGTACACACAAACGACATGGTTTTGATATATCGGGCGTATCACTAGGCCATTATTGGGGTGCAGCAGCCCAACTTCAGTTTTGGTGTTCGGGTCTCACCGTGGTTGCCGTTGTTGTAGACAACGTTGTGGGCGACTGCGGGCGGCGGCGGTTTGCGAGTCCACGTCCGAAACGGCGGGTGCGTGTGGGCAAGACAAAAAACACGGAGGTAGCGCACAACCGTTAGTACGAAGTTCTGAAGGTTCGGTTGGTATCGTCAGGGACACCTCCCGCCGTACAATAGGTATGACATCTTTCGGTACGGGTACCAACGGTTGGTGCGGATAACTCACTGACGAGGTTGTCCGAGTCGTCGTGGGGGTCGAAGCCGTACTGGACGTTGTCGTGCATCTTGTTGTTGGTCCACACGCCGCCCTCGTGCCCGTACGAGTACATACCGTAGTACATTCCTGTGCTCGTGACGTTATCAAAGATGCATCGCGGACACATACGGAAAATAGTGACCACACGGAGACAGAGACTCGAGCATGAGTAGGTATACCTCCTGCAGTACACGGCGAAACCGTTTGGCGTGCTACGACGAACGCCTAACCTTATCATCACAATACTGTGAATGGTAAAAGCGGAACAATCGCTTAGGCGTTGATTGGTCCAAACGAGGTACACATGAACATCGGCGGTCGGCAGGTTCTAAATGCAACACACAACATGGGCTGCAGCACGTATGATGCCCGCCGTATGCTTACCGTAGATGTCCGAGTTCTTGATGTCGCCGTACACATTGCGTTTGTCGAAGAGCTTCAGGTTGGACAAGTCCTTGCACAAACCGCGGACCTTCCATGTAAGCCCATAGCTCTCGGAAGCGTCGTAACCCATGTTTCCCATGGTAGAGTCGATGATATCCTGCGTTTGTTTATCAGCCGACGGAACCGTTGAGTAAATTTGATTTTCGGCCGGCAATATCCGACCGATGAAAATATATTACGTTTAACGCGATTCCGTTGCCTGTCACCGTTCTATCGATCGAACAGGCCGTGCCGATGAAGTGTGATTGGTTCGATTTGCCACATGTGTACATGGGCACGAATTTGAGTGCAGGTTCGCGGAGTTGCAACCAACGAGGCACCCACTGTGGTATATTTGATTCTAAAGGTACAGTACGAATTGTACACGAAACTCACCATGCGACACGTTCCCATATCCTTGTTCGAACCACCGCTGCAGCTGTAGTTGTCGTCGTACTGAGTGATGCAGCGAATGAAGGACCGTCCCTCGTTTTTCTTGTACTCACGCTCCTTGCCCTTACTCGTATCCCACGAGGTGACCTAGAATCCGGCAGCCATCACGTCGAAGAGATAGGTACAACTAGCTGCCTTTGGTTCATACAGTGCTGGCGGGGAGGGGGGGCACCGAACTACTTCTGCGTTTGGATCGATACGAGACTGACATGTGGTGATTCGACGAACCGCGGCTGAGGAATGAAAAACCTTCCGCATAAGCAGAGGTCATTGCTACCCAGTCGTCATTGACCAATTTTCGAGGACACGTGCTGAAGACTCCTCCTACCTTGGTTCCTTCGAAGTACATGTTTCCTCCGTGTCCGAAGATTTCCCAGTACTTGGAGCCCGTGGACTGTCAAAGGAACATCAAGAGTAACGAAGGAGGCATTTGATCAGCTCGACACCCGTTCCACATCTCTGCCATCACGACGATCGACGAGCAGTGAGCGAGACAGGAATACATAGGATTGTGAGTCCAAGCATTATCGAGCGACGCAAAGGGTGCCATCCTGCACCAACTCCAAAACCGATGAGCACACGAGAACGAGAAAACTACAGTGGTGTTGCACGTGTTAAGCAAAACTGGTAAAATTCAGCGTTTTTCCGTATCCGAAGGATTTTTCTCGATTTCTCTCACGACGTATCCAACTCCCCTGCGCTCGAGCACCCCTCATGTTCTACCCCCCTCTCGTACCTCGATCCGGAGCACGTCGCAGTCCCCCCCGCGATCCTTGCCTTCCACGAACAGCGTCGCGTCGTCCTCGATCTTGAGGTTTGAGGTCAATAGCCAGCGGCCGGTAGGTTTGGCCGACCCTCCAGCTCCGTCAACCTTGTTGTCGTTTGAGTCTAGCACCCAAAGCGGACCCTTGCCGTCCTGGGCGTTGTACAGGTCGGTCAGGGTAGCGCAGCCGCCACTCTTGAAGTCTGGGTTCACAGTGAAGACGACACACACCGGAAACACGAGCGTTGTCAAATTACATGCATATACCAGAAAAATGCCTCGCCAACCACAGATATGTTGTGATAGCCAAGTGACACGGTCACCTTGATGTGCCAAGGCAGACACGGCCCAACACCAAGCACCAGTTGAACCACCTCGGAGCCAACAGGTGAAGGAAAACGAACGGAAGGGAACAAGGTTTTCACGTTCGAACGCCGTTTTGCTGCTCAAGCGAAACGATGCCTGGAGGGGAAAGAGGGTGATCCAGGCACAGTTCGCTGCGTTTCACCTGCCTCCCAAGAATCAGCATCATCAGAGAAACAATATAGTTTCGCCTCCAACACTCACAAGCCGTGTCCTTGTCGATCTGTACGGTGGCCTTCTTGTCGCAGCCGGAGGGGGCGGGAGTGGGGGGCGTAGGCGTGGCACTACGAGGCGTCGGTGACGATGAAGTTTTGGGCGTGGGTGAGGGGATAGGAGACGTATTCTTGGGCGCTGATGAGTCGCCTGCAATGGAGAGACAGATGGGCACAGGCAATGTACATGGGGGAGAGTTCACGATTCCCGAAAAAACATGTGTGTGGCACATGAGTCAAACAACGGTCATCGAAGGAGAAAAAATATTGAGCTGCCCTGCAGACAGCAGTGGCCAGAGCAACACGCCTATGGGTTGATTAGACAACATTCCCTCCAGAAGGTACCGAAATGTTGCCTGCAAGCGTCGAGATGCGTTTGACTTAAGCTCAACAGCGATTCCTGATAAGAGCAATGTCATCCATCACAAGCAATCTTCTACAATGTCATCCATCACAAGCAATCTTCTACAGTAGCCCACTCTCTCACCGTCCACGAAGCATGGGGCCTTGCCGGTAACCGAGCACAGAGGTCCACTCTCTTCAATCTTTCCGATGCAGCAGTCGCTGTCTGTGAGTCCGGGCCTCTGGCTGCATCCAGTGCCGCCGCACGTGCCACAGCCAGCCTACCGAAGAGGTGAAGCACAAGGGCCATGATCAGGAACGCAGTGGAGACGACACGATCTTCCCAAAGCTTTTGGATGAAGTCACAATATATTCTCAATACCTATAAAAAACACGCAACACGCTAGTACATGACCACCGGCGAAATGCTTGATACAGGTCGGCGAGCGATCCACAGTCGTCACCAACATTTCACTAGCGGGGAAGGTTTTCTTCTGCTTTCTTCGGCCAGCGACTACGATGCCTGAAGGCGACATCATACATAGTCGAACGATATTTGAGTCGCCATCGCTCATAGAGAATAATTGCACCAATCACCGGAAACCCGGCCACCGTTCCACATGACGTACCGAGCAGCATACATCGCCCTTGAGGATTCCGTCGCACGTGAACGACCCTCCGGCCGTGGACGAAGGGGAGGTTAGTGAAGGCGAAGAGCTGCCTTCGAATGCATAGATTTGCATCTTGTAGAAGCCCCCACAGATCTCTTCTGCGTCACCCGAGCATTGGAAGTCGCAAGAGTCGTCGTCCACTCGGCCGCGCTTGTCGTAGTCGTCGGAGGTCCCGCACCAGCACTGCGAGTGTTTCAGGGTCGTGCGTATGTTTTTTGTTGTTGTTTTTATGTCGTATCACTACCTCGACAACCACCGACAAAGGGGTGGGAATGGGGCGCGGAATGTGCAGAATAATGGAGTTGTTCCTGGGGAGCGAGTACGGACGGGTCATCACCAGAACGATTTAATTTGACTTCTTCCAGTGCGCGGGAAATATGGCTAAAAGTGTTGCCTCATTCTGGGATTCCGCTGCCACATTCAGCGGTGGGTTAAGAGAGGTTTTTCGTCCATTCTCAACGGTAGTTTGGAGACTCGTCAGTTTCCCCGCAGATCATGACAAATCAGTAGCGTTGCCGGGGGTGGTTACAGTTCTCACGAACCGTACAGGCGTCGTCTCACAATCGTGGGCGAAGCTCAAAATGGCGAACCATGAACGTGTGGCTGTCGTAGATTTTTTCTCACCTCACGTCCCCATTGTAGTCCGAAGAACGCGTAGCCCTTGCACTCGTTCGCGCACAACTGTTTTTCGTTCCGGTTTGAGTGGCGGAGAGAGACCAAGGCGCAAGACAGCATGTATGTCACGAAGCTATTTACCAAGAGTATGGGGAGTAGTGCGGATGGAAAACAACGACTCGCACTCGTACATGTTGTGAAATTGGCACACACGATGAACAAGCTCATATCTTTCGATTGGTAAAGGCTTACCCATTAGACTACACAGCCCGGGATTCTACGAGCCGAGAGTGTATCTTTCGATTGGTAAAGGCTTACCCATTAGACTACTCAGTCAGCGCTGACTGAGTAGTCTAATGGGTAAGCCTTTGCTATCACATATTTGTATTTTGTCTTACCGCGGTCGTTGCAGGAGCGGCGTTCCACCGACAGTTGCTGCGAGGAACTGCTAGGTACGTCACATGCGAGCATGGTGGTGACTAGGATGCACACTCTGTTAAAGCTTCTCGACGCAGGCCGTAGGGAAGCGAAATCGGCGAGCGGTGAAAATTACATAGATCTCTTGCTTCTTCACGGATGAGCTCGAAACATGCACCCTCCTCCCCGAACCCATTGCGTCGCCTGCCCATATTAATTTTTACATATCTGTACCCCGAAATGTGCTCGCATTGTTTCACTTTCCCCTTGACATGCTTTTCCCCTCGCAGCACTAACACGCCCTACACTCACCACCGTGGTCATGTCATCCATGGTCGTGACATAGCTGAACAGGCGGTTCGGCTCAGGCTTGTCGTTGAAACACCCTTGGTACACGAAACCATCGGACTCCGTCGGCGTGGACTTGGACGGGGTCGAGTCACCTGCTCCAATAGACGAAACGCCCATCGCAACGTCATCAGGCAAGTGTCGTAGAAAACTTGTTTGAGGGCGGGATGGAGATTGAGTCGAACGGAAGATGGACAACCCGCCGCTAAAAAAAGCAATAGCGTAGTGTCGGGGGAACGTTTGTGTGGCTACTCGTCCGCCGTAGATATGACTTACCGTCCAAGAAGCATGGGGCGTGGCCCGTGACTGAGCACGGAACCCCTTGCTTCAAGATGTTCTTCGTGCAGCAATCGTCTCCGGTGAGGCCGGGTTCCCTTGAGCTACAGCCAGAGCCGCCGCATGTGCCACAGTCCGAGACACAACAAGCACCGCTCTTTTCGATTCCCGGGAAGCCGTTGCTGCACTTCTGGGCTGCTTGATCGTTCACGGCGTCAGGAATACGACAAGGAACCATTTCAGTAGCATGCGTTAGACAACTAGTCTCAAGGTGAAGTGAATTTTTCGAAAGGACGTGGGATGCGGTCCAACAGGCAGATGCGGCAAACAACATGCATGTTCAGTGCTCAACCGTAGAGTACAACATGTATTTTACGGAGCAGTTGTTAGACTACGCTCTCCCGTTGTGTCTCGGCCGTCAAACAATTAAGGACGGCGAAGTACTTTTACACGTGAAATTCACAATAGCTCACCGGTGGCAACCCCGACTGACAGCATCGGCAGAACCAGTTTGGAGAACCGCATCTTGACCAGGAGGACGAGACGCCGACGAGTTTGAGCGCTGCGAGATTCATGTCCGTGCATAGAGCATGGATGGCAGCACGTACAGTAGTTGTTGCTGGCCAATTTTTTTTGTCATGTTGATCGCGACATATTGCCAAGCTTGTTCACCAGTCGCGGTGCCGGTTTTGTGCTAGACACACCGACAAGCGAGACTTTTACAGACAGAACCTGAGTGCTATTGGTCATGGTTTCGAGACATCATATGCCTACACCGGCCAAGAATCTGTGGCAACAAAAACTCTCTCCCCCGACGCGACGCCCTGTGTCCTGGTGATCTTGGGGAAGCTGCTGGTGCGATTGACCACCAAGGCGGTTGTCGTTTTGACCGGAAAAATGTGTCACATCGTTATTTGAGAGTGGTTCGTGCGGGAAACAGATGGAACAATAGAGATGTCCAACAGGAATCAACGACACCGCATTCGTTTCGTGCCTGACGACTCGCCACCTGTCTATGTAGGCTACTGCTGCTTCTCCTCAGGTTGTAGCAACCAGTGGTCAGGCGATCCTTTCCTGTAACCGGAGTCAACTGAATTTCAATACAGTTGTCAAGATAATATGTTGTTGTGCTTGCGTATTCGGCGCCTCTCGGACCGTTGACACTGGCTTTCTCTCCATACATCCAATTTGCGTCGCGCAGGTCAACCCACTCAGAACACAGATCTCTCGTGAAGAAGCAGGGACAACGAGCTTGCCAAACACCCGACCAGCGCTTCGTTGGTACATCAGAACTCACCGACAGGAAGGGGGTCATCTACCGCATATGACTGCAAACTGGGGGATGGTGTTCAGAGTCACGCACTAGAAAAATTGAAAAAATCGCGTGCGGAGAAATTAACATTTGGAACATGATCTCTCTGGATGTGTCGGCAATCTTGGACAGGCGTACGTCAAGAGTGTAGTGGATGCGTACACAGAACGATAACACTGCATCTCGAACAATTGCTGTTCTTGAGGCAGCTCACGTTCCCTGTCACTCACGTGAAAGATACGCGCTGTGTATTCGTTACCTATCACCTGGCGTGAGTTTGTAGAATGACTAGGAGCATGCTCGGCGCTCGCTGACAGCTCGACGTGCATGCTCGGCGCTCGCCGATAGCTCGACTTTCACCACCGTTCGTTCATTCACTTCACTGCGACCACAGTTACATAGAGCTTGACACACTTGCATCCGCCCGCCGTGTGTGTAGGCGGGAGTGAGGTGCGTTGGCAGCGTTTCGGTAAACCACAACGTACAACGCACCACAACACCACGCCGCGCGACGAAGTTCTCCTGAAAAAAATGACCCCAAAAAATCGATACCAAAACTGCGGAGAATCGTCGTGGCTCATCGGGTCAACTGTAGTCTGGACTGTAGACCACACGACCAGTGTTTGTCCCGCTCCGACGTTTGGTGGCACTACCGAGACTCACCTCTCGACGAGCAAGTCGTAACTCTTGAATACGGTCGATGTTTCGGGCTGGTGCTTGAGGAGAAAGGAAAGGGGGGTGTTGGGTTGTGGAGTTGGTGGGTGGGAGAGGTGGGGATGGGAAGGTGTGAAATATGGATATATGAGAACAAAAATGTCCGAACAGCCCGCAGAAAAAAAAAAAACTTCTTTGGGAATTCATTTACTGCCGAATAGTCGCGTAGCTATCGCAAACCCCGAGACACCAAGGTACTGCTGCAACTACGAGCCTTGGCTGTCCGGTGGACATAGTCTACAAAGTTTGTTGTGTTGTGGCAAGACGAAGGCCAACTTTTACACCCGCGAACAATAAGGATGCCGGCCTCAGGGTCGCTCGGTGTTTCCGACTCTCTTTTTCTTCCTTGTTCGGCGCAACCAACTCAACCGGCTCAATCGGGTCAACACGCTAAATTTGGTTCCGGCATCATCCAGCTCTATATCCTGGATCCCGGTGCACCCGAGTGCATGCAACTTGTCGGGACGGGAAATCAAGTTTGTTGGAGGAGATTGCTGGCGGAGGTTTGCGGGGGAGGTGTATCACAGCCCGTCTGACTAGCAGAGCTGGAATCGACGTCCAGGCGCACCCTTGCCATCGCTCACAGTATGTTCGCAGGTAGTTTTCAACCGATGACAACCAGCATTATTCTCGATGGAGCCAGCCTGATTGGGAGCGGAACAAGTTGGCAGCATCGTACCCAAGCATCACTACTCAAGTGATCTGGGCATGTGATTGGTTTTTAGTTTACTGCGCGATGTGATGAATTGCATGTAGTGCAGTCCTCCAATGATGGTGGCACAAAGATGATTCTGCAAGATACTGTACAAGCAAGATGTAGTCGAAGTATAGCCCGCTATCGTACGTCGTAGGACGCGCACATGGGAAGTGGGCACGTATTAATGCTGGTCTTATGTAGGTGTCAGTCATGGAAGCACCCTTTGAAGTTTGTCGCGTTATGTTACAGGGTGTAATGGTGCGTGAATCTGAACAGATGAACTATCACTCACTTACACAGTAGTGGTGTTGGGCTGCCTCAAGGGTGGTGCGACCAAAGGAGAAAAGCGCACTCTTGCGCGTTACCCCTACGGGAAAATGGCGAGAAAGATGCGTCACGCCATCAATCTCCATAGACTTACCCCTAGACGATCACATGAAAATAGATTGCCGTGTCCCCACGGCCGCTTCCGCGATGTATTTTGTTTTGTGTATTGTTGGTATCGTCGGAATCATTTATTATTGATGCAGCACAAGGGAAAATTACACTTATTTGATTATCTAGATCTAGGTCGATGTGGTGCCAGCATTTCAAAATGCTGTCCTCCGTGCCCCTGGTGGAGACGCTTTTCGCAGGCTTCGCGCCTTTCTTTCTGGGGCGCTTTTTGCTCCGATTTTTTTGCTCAACGCGCCCCTGCTCATAGGGACAAACATTCGCGCGCAGCGCTTTGTCGGCGAGGTGTTGCGCAGTCGCTGGGGTGAGCTGAGTGCTACATCTCCGTGATCTCCCACAAATTTTCAGCTCTTTCCACTGCGCGACGCGCGGAGCCACTAAGTTGGCAAACCACAGAGCGTTTTCTTCGACGTCTGCAAAACAGAATGAATGGAGTTGTCAATTCAATCAATAAATATTTTGGCGACAACTTTTCTGAGCGGACGTTTTTGATGACAAGCAGGACCTCATTGCGTCGCTCTCTATAGTCCAAGGTATCTTCATACCTTATGCATGATCGGTTTGTGTGGCGTTAAAGGTTTGTTGTAGTAATGGCGCTCTCTTATTTGAGTGTTGTCACATAGTCTAGTACATATATATATATTTCTTTTTTCTCCCATCATTGGACTCTGTCGTCTGCCCCTCTGGCCCCTATCCTCCACACTTCTACCTGCAAGACGAACGACCCGACCGAGGTCACATAGGAGGGGCGGGCTGGACCCCCACCTGCTGTTCATGCCTGAGGTATTTTTATCGCGAGAAGGGTACAGCAATCCCTTCCCTCGCGACATACGAAGTCGATTGATTATGGTTTACTAACAACGAGCTTTGCAGCGCGTCGCTTTCATCCTAGACCAGGATTTATTTAGTGAGAAGAATACTCACTCTGCCGGGACTCGAACCCATGACCTGGCCCTTAGCAGGCTGCGAGAATACCCACTAGACCACCGGGGCGACCGGTGTATGTGGCTAAGGAAAAAGCGAAAACAAGTGGTGGATCTCAGCGAAAAAATACAAAAGTCGGCCCGATCTCGGAAAATACGGTTACTTACTTACATGCTCGCGCGCGCGCACGCTGTGTGTGGTCGTGCACGTCACTGCTCTAGGTGATCAGTTCCACTGAGTGCATTAAGACTTCTACGGAAGCGAACAACTATCTACGCGACTGTTATCTGTTGCTGATGTTTGTGATGTTGTTGTTGCAAGTATGATATTGTTGCATGTATAGTTACCTCCATAGCCGAGAAAATAAAGCAAAAAAAATGCGGCGAAATTCATCAGCTCACAGTCTGCCCAACGAGGCGGTTACACGCCTCCGCGCGCGCATTTTTGTTTGCGAGTTGCCCCCGCTGCTTATTTCCATTAGAGCCCACCCGAACAACTTCGAAGAGCACACGATGTAGCCGTTGTCTCAGGGGCCGCCACTCAAGCGCCAGAGAGCATCAAACCAGTCGTCTGAGAAGCGTGAGTTTGTGATCGAAGGCGGTAATCCCTCGTGGCACTGCATCGATACGGATAACTGTCCGGACGGGCGTCTCAAGGTGACCATCCGTCAGGACGGGAGGGAGTATGTTATCTGCGATCACAACGACCTGAAGGACAAGAAGACCTGCAACGTGACCCTCAACTATTTCCAGGAATACAGCGGTTCCATCAAGGACTGCGACCTCTGCCTGAAAGAGTTGATCCACGTGCCGTCGATTGGAACGCGCACTGACGAGAAGGGCGCCAACGAAAAACAAGGTGTGCGAAATTTCAGCAAGTAGACGCTGTGTGTTTTTACAGCGAGTAGACGCTTTGTGTTTTTACAAGCCGTCTGTGCGCAATGTGCCTGATATCATTTTTATCGAGCCGTGTCACTACTCGGTTGATCTACTGCCGTGCTCTGATAGCTGTCGTTAGAAATACCGAGAACGGTTTATTGTGTTGTGTTGGGTTTTTTGTTGAAAACGTGACAACAATCTGCAGCCGTCGACCGTCCTTATTATTCACTAGACCAATCGTGTTGTCGATTGGTCTATCCACTTCCCGTTTTTGTATTCAATCATAACTAGTTAACAGCAACCTCCACAGACTTTTCTCCCAGTGCACCTGTTCTCAGTCGAGCGACGGGAAGAGGTTCAAGAACGCTCCTATCGCCAGCGGGAGCATTGTCAGCGTACGTACGTGATATTATTGTGTAATGTGTTACACCTGACCCATAGTCTATACCTGCAACTTTTTGTTTGTTCTCTCGAGCTGCCTGTTGGCAGACAAGCGATGTGCGCTAAGTGCGCCAACTTCTCGAACATGCAAGTTTTCCAGGGTCTCCCTCTAAACGAAAATCTGATACCGAAAACGCATTAGCCATCGTCAATAGAAGAGGCCGCCCGCATCTATTCATCACCGTTACCTTCAACGCAGACTGGCCTGAAGTCACTGAGAGTTTAATGCAGGGTCAAAGTGCGTATGATCGCCCGGACACATGTTGCAGGGTATTCTAGCACAAGCTAAGAGAAATAATGCGCGTATTGAAGAGTGGAAAAATCTTTGGCCCTTATGATAGCCATCTAAGTGTCATAGAGTTTCAAAAAAGAGGTTGCCCACACGCCCACATTCTGATGACGTTCAAGAGTGCAGGTCCTGACCCCCTAATCGAGAATTTTCAGTGGGTTTGGGCCCAGCTGCCCAGTGAAAATATTGCTCACGCCATATTGCGTGAAAAGGTTTTGAAATTCATGATACACACCGCGTGTGGTGCTAAAAATGTCAACGCGCCGTGCATGCAGACCAACAAGGACACAAACAGATCTGTAGCAACCATCAGTGACAAGTCCGGTCGTGCAGATTACAAGCGTGTAGCAAATGGTGACAACCCCACCATTAAACGGCGTATCGACAATAAATCCGTCGAAATAAAGATCGGCAATGAGTGGGTTGTGCCGTACAACCCAATATTGCTGCTGATGTTTGATTGTCACATCTGTGTTGACATCGTTACCGCAACGTCGTGTTTTAAGTACCGGTTCAAATACGTACACAGCAGTGGGGAGGATTACATTAAGGTCCGCAAAATGGGCATCACTTGTGAGGTTGAACAATACAGACAAACAAGGTACATTTCTGCTGCTGAAGCTACTTGGAGACTTCTTGGTTAGGAAATGGTTGATAGGTACCCTGCGGTAACAAAGATCCACGCGCATTTGGAAGGCGAACAGTACGTATCCTTTTCGCAAGGGGCGACGCAAGAAGAACGCCTCCGAATTGCCGCCGACTCGCCGTCGCCTCTCATGAAATACTTCAAACGTCCATCCAACACGTTGTTCTCCCTATTGACTATTGTGGACTGTTTCGAGCACTTAATCCTCTCCACAATTATACCCGGGCACGAGGAAGCGCCGCCTGGCATGTACTTAGACGGATATGGCAATGTTGTTTCTAAGACAACACGCGGAGAACACTTTTGTAGAATCACGTTTGAGAATCCTGCGGTCGGCGATCTCTTGTACTTGAGAATGCTGCTGCTCAGAGGGAGCATGAGAATGATATTTCGTCGGAGAAGTCAAAGGATGACGGCTCAGCCCTTTCGTAGTTACACTCAGCATTTCGTCGCTGCACGTTCTACGGTGGAAGGGTGGATTGGGTTATGGGTGTGACTGTACTTTTTTGAGGGGCAACATTGCCTTCTTCGGACATAGCTAAACTTGCGCCAGTTGTGCGCAGGGTGTGCATGGAGTAGGTTGCACGCGTTTGCCGGAGCGTAGTGTGTGTAGCACTGGGTGTCCATAGAGTAGGTTGCACACAGTTTGCCGGAGCGTTGTGTGTATACAAGGCGCGGAAGTTGGTGTTAGTGGTGAGAAGGGGCAGTGGGAAGGTTCAGATATTCAG